TTGTTGATAGTGCAACAACTCATACAATACTTAGAAAAAAAGTATTTCTCTTATTTGGCAATGCAAGAAGCCAATGTTCAAACTATATCTGGAAGTGCAAAACTGATTGAAGGCTCCTTAAGAGCCAATATATTGTTACCTGGAAGAACAATATTATACATTGATAGTGCATTTTACTCAACTAAGTCTAAAATAAATTTGTTGAGTTTCAAGGATATCCACAAGAATGGATACCATATCGAAACAACAATTGAGGAAAATCAATAATATCTTGCTATTATAAAGCCAACCTCTAATAAAAAAGCACACTAGAAAGATTGCCTACATTTTCTTCTAGCTCTTATTACACAATTATCAGTGTAATTGAAGTACACATCATTATAAACTAGCAATTTATAAATGATAACAAATTTAATGTTTGGCATGACTGGTTAGGCCATCCCGAGACAATTATGGCACGAAAAATAATTGAGAATTTATGTGGACATTCATTGAAAAGTCAAAAAATACCACAGTCCAATGTTTTCTTATGTAATGCATGTTCCAAGAGAAAGTTAATTGTTCAGCCATCACCAGAAAAACTAGAAAGTGAGCCTCTCACTTTTCTAGAACACATAAAGGGAGATATTTATGGACCAATACATCCACCATGTAGACTATTTTGATATTTTATGATTCTGATTGATACATCAACAAAATGGTTGCATGTTTGTTTATTATCTTCACGTAACCTGACGTTTGCAAGATTATTGACTCAATTAATCAGATTAAGAGCACTTTTCCCATCAAGAAAATACATCCTGATAATGCTGGTGAATTTACTTCACAAGCCTTTAATGATTATTGTATGTCTCTTGGGATTGATGTTGAACATCCTGTGGCTTATGTGCACATACAAAATGGACTTACAGAATCATTGATCAAATGCTTACAATTAATTGCGAGGCCATTACTTATGAGATCAAATCTCCCAATTTCTTCTTGGGGACATGCAATTTTGCATGCAGTAATGTTAATTCGCATCAGGCCAACAAATTATCTCAAATCCTCCTTTTTACAATTGGTTTCTGGTCAGGAACCCAATATTTTCCAACTAAGAACATTTGGATGTGCTATATATATTCCAATTGCTCCCCCACAACGTACTAAAATGGGTCCTCAAAGAAGGATGAGAATATATATTGGATGTGAATCTCCTACTATAATAAAGTATCTAGAACCGTCAACAGGAGATTTGTTCATGGCTCAATTTGCGGATTGTCATTTTTATGAGTCAGTTTTTCCAACATTGAGGGGAGAAAATAAGAAATTGGAAAAGGACATTAGTTGGAAAGAATTATCACTATGTCATCTTGATCCTCATACAAAATAATGTGAACTGAAAGTTCAAAAGATAGTCAATTTATAAAATTTAGCTAATCAATTACCTGATGTATTTACTAATCTGAAGAGAGTAACAAAGTCACATATTCTAGTTGTTAATGCTCCTATTGAAATTGATGTCCCTGATGGACAATCAATTGTGAATGATTTTAAAACACCATGAAGCATGGCAAGCCCATCAGTTCCAAAGATAAAAATCCTTGAAAGAAAAAAGAAGCTAAAAGCATAAATGGCCTAGTCGAGAATAATTTAGAAAAGTTAGAAACTCCAGAAGAATCATTAGACAACATTAACGCCCCAATTCTTAAAGAAAGTCAGGTACTTGAAATATATGAAAATGATGAGATCTCAATTAATTATGTTATGAATGGGATAAGATGGGACCGAAATGAAGTCGACTTCAATTATATTTTCTCTTATGATGTAACGCTCGATGTAATGAATGATAATGAGAATCATGAACTGAAGTCAATTACTGAATGTAAACAAAAAAAAAGGATTGGCCAAAATGAAAAGATGCAATGAGGCATAATTAAAATCGTTAAAATAGCAAAAAGTTTTTGAACTAGTAGTCATTACACCTGAAAATGTAAAACCAGTTGCATATAAATGGGTTTTTGTGTGGAAGAGAAATGAAAAGGGTGAAATCATAAGATACAAGGCATGATTTGTTGCCCAAGGATTTACACAAAGACCTGGTATCGATTTTAAAGAAACTTATTCACCAGTAGCGGATGCAACTACTTTTTGATACTTGATTAGTCTCAGTAAATAAAATGCTCAATTTACATTTAATGAATGTTGTTATAGCCTATTTGTATGGCTCACTTGACAATGACATTTATATGAGACTCTCTAAAGGGCTAAAATTGCCAAAAGCATACAATTCAAACTCTCGAGAACGATACTCAATTAAGTTAAACAAATCCCTATATGGATTAAAGCAATCAGGACGAATGTGGTATAACAAGCTTAGCGAGTGTCTATTGAGAGAAGGATATAAAAATGATACAATATGCCCATGCACTTTTATGAAACGATTAGGAAATGAATTCGTTATAATCGATGTGTATGTTGATGATATAAATATTATTGGAACTCTTGAAAAACTTGAAAAGGCAGTGAATTGTCTAAAGAAAGAATTTGAAATGAAGGATCTAGGAAGAACAAAGTTTTGCCTTGGATTACAAATTGAGTATTTGAAAAATAGAATTTTTGTATATCAAACTTATACAAAAAAAAAGATCCTAAAATGTTTTTATATGGATAAATCATATCCATTATATACTCTAATGGTTGTAAGATCTTTGGAGGTGGAAAAGAACCCTTTTAGACCTCGAGCAATCGAGAAAAAAGGTGATGAAAAGCTACTTGGTTTAGAAGTACCATATCTTAGTACAATTGGAGCACTAATGTATCTTGCTAATTATACGCAACTTGATATATCATTTGCAATTAACTTGCTAGCAAGATATAGTTTTTCACCAACACGAAAGCATTATAATGGAATTGAACACATCCTTCGTTGTCTTAAGAGTACAATGGACATGGATTATTTTATTTCAAATGCATCCAAGACTGATCTTGTTGGCTATACAGATGCTAGATTTCAGTCTGACCCACATGTCGGTAAATCACAAACTAACTATCTATTCACATGTGGTGGTACAACCATTTTATGGTGATCTATGAAACAAACTATATTAGCCACATCATCTAACCATGCAGAGATTCTAGCAATGCATGAAGCAAGTCGAGACTATGTATGGTTAAGGTCCTTAATACATCACATGCAAACTATTTGTGACTTGTCTTCTGGTAAAATGATCCCAACAATACTATACGAAGATAATACTGCATGTATTACTCAGCTAAAAGAAGGGTACATCAAAGGAGATAGAACAAAGCATATGTCCCCAAAATTCTTCTTCACTCATGACCTTCAAAAGGATGACAAAGTCAATATCCAACAAATTCATTCCAGTGAAATTTTAGCAAACTTATTCACCAAATCACTTCTAGCCATCACGTTCAAGAGACTTGTTCATGACATTAGGCTTCGAAGACTCAAAGATATCAATTGACATTTTCAAGAGGGTGAGTAAATGCATGCTCTACTCTTTTTTCTTTATCTATGGTTTTTCTTATTGAGTTTTCCTAACAAGGTTTTTAATGAGACAACACTATGAATATATTAATAAATGTTGCACTCTTTTTCTTCTACTAGGTTTTGTCCCACGGGTTTTTTTAGTAGAAGTTTTTTAATGAGGTACATATTTAGTTATGGACATCCAAGGGAGTGTTATGAATATAATATCTTTAGGGATGTCCATGTAGCTATCATTATCTCCTTATCTCCGAGTATCTTCAATATCTCCCATTATCCTATTATCTGCAATTATCTTTTATTATTATGTTATCTGTAGATCTTATCAAAGATGTAAAGTTGTACCTATAAATAAAGGTCATATATAATGTATTCAGCACCCTTGAATGGAATGAGAAATACGCTCTCTTATTGATATTTTTTTCTTCTCTATTCTTCCTTTTTATTTATAACATATTGCATTTTTTTGAATTTTTGAAACAAAAGTAATCAATAATGAAATTAGAGTAGTCAATAGATAAAAAAGTTCTGATAAAAAAAAAATAGATAAACAAAAGTAGTAACCAAATTTTAAAAAATGAAAGCAGTTCATCATAATACTGGAGTAGTAAATAACTAAACAAGAGTTGTTATCAAAGTTCTGAAAAAAAATATAATCAATAGCTAAAAAAATTAGTCCATACATAAGAAAAAGTAGTTATCAGAGCTCTGGCAAGCAATTACTTGAGTTTTAGTGACATGTAACTCAAGCTTGAGGGACCGACCACCATAAACCAGCTAAGGATTCCAAGGTGGCAACATTTGAAAAAAAAAAGAAAGAAAGAAAAAATAGTAACAGACATTTATATAATTTGACAAGATTTAAAAACTTCAAAATAATACAAGAAATCTGAATTAAAATTTTAAAATTCACCCACATTAATTTGTCTTTTAGTAGATTTCAGAATATTTTAATATCTTTTCTCCATATGTTACCTTGTGAGAAAATGTACATGTTGAATAGAAATAAAATTGAAAAGTTATTCAATTTTAAAACAAAATTAACAAGATTTAATGTTTTTTTTAGTTCTAATGAAATAAAATAACTTATAAATAAGATGAGAGAAGTATTTGTTTTGCTTGAACTTGTGCCCTGCATACCCAAATAAAATAGGTTGTAGTTAAAAGTGTAAATGGGAAAAAAGAAGGGAAAATTGGTATAAAAAAAATTCCTATTTGAAATTTTAATTGATCAAAAGGACCTAAAATTGTGCAAGTATAAGTATCATCCGTGAGTGCAACATATCATCCGCCGAATGCAATTACACATAGCGGATGATATGTTGCACTCATAGATCATACTTACACTTGCACAAATTAGATCCTTCCTGTCAATTAAAATTTCAAAAGGGATTTTTTACTAATTTTCCCAAAAAAGAATTGCAACAGCAGAATTCACATCATACAATTTAATGTAATTAATAACTATTTACATATTTTTGTAACAAAAAAATAACTTTATATATTTGCAAAAAATGATCTTCATTGATACCAATTATCTAATGATCATGTCATCAATAGTCAACTTTGGCTTTATCTTTATAGGAACCTAGTATCCTATCGTATAGTTTGACTATCCAATCCGGTCCGATTCTATGATCATTTTCCCTGTGAGTGACTATTCATTTTACTTCATCCAGGCATCTTGCAGCCAGCGATGACCCAGAATGCAGAGTAAGTTCATCCAGGCATGTTGCAATCTCTCATTTAGCACATAAGACCTGCTGAGGTCAGAGTTTACTAGGGGTTACTTGATCCACTCCACGCTTCACTTGTTGAGAAGGTTGATCAAAGATCCCCTTTCTTTCAGCAATAAATTTTGCGAACCGAGAACCCTTAATTTCTTTGCTGTTATCGTCTACGAGGGACTGAGGCAGTTCAGACATTGGAGGGAGCTTCGGAGACGATGGCCGCATCAAAGCCCATACTGATGAAATGTACTCATCCGGTTCATCAAGAACTCGCAAAACTGAAAGATTCTTCATGTCTGCAATGAAAAGCAGTGTTGTCAGATCATTTTGTGTTGCCTACCGATAAAGGCTCCAACATTCTTTTATTTTTCTTTTTTCTTACCTTTCGAGAAAACATAGATGGGTGCTAAAGCCGCGCATGGGATGCTAAAATTAAGATGAGGTATCACAGTTCCTCCACTGTGCCTTGCATTGCTGTGTCAAGACTCGAGAAAATCTTATAATTAGCATGAAATTTAAATCTTCGGACATTTAACAGCAACCGCTGTTAAAATAACGAATTCATAAAAAGCTCACATGGAATGCAGAAAACAACAGGGTGGCCAGCCAGGTAAAAAGGGTAAAGCAGAGCAGGGTAATCTTCTTTGAAGTAATTAAAAAGGCATATTCTGAGATAAAAAAAATTTTTTTTAAAAAAACACTCGATCCAAAGAGACGGTAAGTATCAAAGCTAAAGAAATTCATCCAAAAGGATCTTTGTTGTCTTCAAAGCGTAAGTAAATGGATGGTCAAAGAAAATAGTAAGTTCGAAGATTATCAGGTGCCTATTAGCAAATGATACAAGGTGAGGGCTATCCTACCGAATCCATCAAAATCAGAAAATCTAGAGAACCTACTAACAGTCTGATTTCAAACCTTGATCCCAAGGTAGGGGTGCCATTAAAATCTGAACAAGGGTGCCTGATGCCCTAACTAAAGTCTTCTTCCAGTTCAAAACACGTTGAAAACAATTCAGTTCTAAGCAAAATTAGAATAAATTATAAATTATAACTTATACAGAAAGCAAGCAGCAATACCTTGTAACCAGACCAATCATGTGACCATCTGAATTGACGACAGCACCCCCACTAGCGCCAGGATGAACAGCAGCTGTTGTTTCCAGCATCGCAGGGAGTTGCCCATGGGTGTGCCCTTGCTGAACTGAGAGATAGGATTGAGGAGTCTCTGCTTCAATGACTTTAGCCACGACACCAGAACAGACAGATGGGAAGAACCCTAATGAAAACAATAAGGACATAAAGGGACAAATGGTCATCTGCTACCTTCAACTTCACATTTTCTCTTGGGGCTCATGGTAATTTATACAAGATTTTATCACACTGTGCAATCCCAGGTGGGTTGTTGTCAAACTCGAGCTTTAACTATATGTTCAATCCTACTAATGGGTTCAAAAATAATAGAAAACCGCAACACGAGTCTATTTATTCCCAATCCTCGTAGGAAAATTTCTGTAAAAGATATTTAATACGCATTCAGTGCTTCTTTCAAAGGTGATGATCAGGTCTTGGAATTTCATTAAGCAAACTGATAGCATAATGCAATCGATCTAGATGTAAATATAGGAACCATTAGGCAAGCAGATCATACAATCTTTACCCAAGTCACTGATGGGGAGATAGCTCTTAATTGTGTACGTAAGTAAGTTCATGACAATATGATCACCAGGAACCCATGAATAAGTGATCATGAAGCTAACAAGCGCTTAGCTAAGGAACTTGAATCAATGACTTGATTCCATTTCTTTGAGAAGGAATTGGCCAGGCCATCTAAAGCAATCACAGTCCTTCAATGGAAATACACTCTTGACCTCCCTAGTGAAACTAGAATGCCAAGGAGTAAAGCAATAGATACTCCTATGGAAGCCTGTAGATAAGAACAAATTCTCCAAGGAGATGCTTCTATTGATACTGAGAAGAAACACAAACTCATTTATCCAGCCCATTCACAACCCAACAAAAGGTTCTCAAGCATCCCAGGACTCTATGAGCAACTTGAAAGTAGGGGTGTTTAAAATAAGCCTGTCCTGGCTGGCCGGACAAACCAGGACAGGACCGAGATGGGTAGTCCCGTCCTGTTAGTAATATTTTTTAAATTTTTTTAATCATATTATAATTATTAAATGTTAAAAATACAAAATGTTCCAGGCATGTGTAATACCAAAAGTTTATATTTGTAGCTTTTAGCACACAGGTAGTTGAATGGTTTTTATTTATTTAGAGCTTTTATAGTTGATTATAATTTTTAGAATGGTGAAAATGAATTTTGGAGTTATTTTGTTACTTATTATTATTTATTTCGACTTTTCTTTAAGAGGGCTAAGCCCAAAGAAATAAAAAAGAAAACAAAAAGATGCTTTCAAAAGGGCTAAGCCCAAGGAATTAAAAGTAGATGGAAAAAAAACCAAAATTCATTGTAATAGGTCCAACTACAAAACAAAAAGTGTTTTTCTTTTTTCTTTTTTTTTTTAAAAAAAGGATGTGACCGGGACAGGACACGAAACAGATTTTCTGTCCCATCCCTGTTCAATGGGACAGGACCGAGACAACAGCCCTACTTGAAAGGGAGCATCAGCTGGTTTACTCAAACCTGGAAGTCTGCAGATTTCCTAGAAAAAGACCTTGCTTCAAGAAGGGTATAGATGGTGGGCATTGAGACCGATTGCAATGCTGATTGGGCAGATTCTATTTCTAGTAGGTTTGTCCGCATCAAGCTACTTTTCACATATAGGGGAAGCTTGTTACACTAAGTAAGATGCAGCTTGGGATGGCAAAAAAACAGTGAAGAACCTGAATAAAAGGTCTGAACTCAAGGAATATGAGAGATGTTAAAAAGACTTGTATGGAACAAAGAGTTTATTATCAAGAGCCTAGGAAAGTTTATTTGTGATAACTGTCCTAAGAATTGCAACGAATCCTATAACTCCTGTCAAGGTTTGACAAAATTGGTGTCAAGCTGGCAATGGTTAATATGTAACCGAAGCTGGGTGATGAAAGAGTCGCTGAGCCTTATTCCCATTAAAAACAAATCTTGTCATTATAATTTCCACTACGCCATTTTACCTTTCTAGGCAATCCAATGGCTACAGGATGAAGGGCAATTAATCATTTACTCCCTATAATTTAACTTAATTTTTAATTTAGTTCTTGTAGCTTTTTTAAATACCTCCGTATGGTTACAAAATGTTATAGCATTAATCTCTATACTATCTTCTGGTTAAGATTTAATCTCCTGCATAACAAACGAGGCATAACTCCCTTAGATAATGCCTGACGTGTTTAACACTCAACTGGTCTCATAAATGATAAAGATAGCACAAGGCATGAATATAAATCAAGAAAGTTGACTATGATACCAATATATCATGTGATAAACCAAGCTAATCAGAAAATGAATAAGCCCATAATCAGGAGATTCCAACAAAAGACTAACAAGATTCTATAAGCATTTCGTACAATCTTATTTTGCTACTGTTACGGAATTTTGATAGGGAATGAGAGAGAGAGAAGGATAAGGAAGGAGAAACAGAGAGAATAGAGGGAAATCAAGAGAACGAAGTGAGATAGAAGATAGAGCAGAGAGGGAAACGAGAGAGGGAGAGAAGGACAGCCAATCGGGCAACTGTATATTCTCAATTCATAAATTACATATGGGTTAAAGGGGTCAGGTATATATATAGGCAAGAAGGGACTAATTCTAACGGCTATATCCTTCAATCTGGTAGCCAACTCTAACTGCCTATTGTTTATTACAATTATACAAGTAATTATTAGTAACTTGAAGTTTAATTCCACAACAGATTATATAACCGAAAAGGAAACAGATATATAAGATTACAGGGAGCATACCACATCTTGGGCCAAATAGTCCATGGCCAATGACATACGCCTTTGATCCCATGGATGGCCATGAAAAATTCATCACAATAGGTGCAAGCTGATCTGGTATGGATTCAAGCTGCAAGAGGGCAACATCCCATGGTCCTTTGCAGACATACACAACCTTAGCATTGCACCAAATACGAGGTTTTACGTGGTCAAGGCGTACACGTATGACTTGATGTCTATTGTGATTTGAACTCAATATATATCCCGCTGGCTCATTAGCTGGAAAAGGATTAAGAATTGTCATCTTAGACCTTCTGGTTTGACTTTGCTGCTTATCCTTAACTCCTTTCCTAACAGATGCATCCCTCTCTGCTAAGAAAGGAAATTCTTTAGGATTGTCTCCATATCCACTAATCTGTGTCTTCCCAAATCTCCATGGTTCCAACAAGTGAGCATTAGTAAGTATCAGACCTTGACTGTTCAGAAGAACACCAGATGCCCAGACTCCATCATCTATAGTAACAAGGCAGATAGAAGCCATTGCCTTCTCAATTGGTAATGGTGAGGAGCTACTAAACTTTGAATTTGCATGATTAGAACCCCAGTATCCAAAGTCGTCAGTTTTGGTAGATGACCCCTTTCCTCCATCCTGTGACTTTCCCTCATGATATAACTCTTTTGCTGTATTTTGAGGCCAATTACGCAGTAAGCCACTAGAGGCAGTCACAATGACTTCCCATGGAATCACCAGCTATCAAAAAAGATAACATTTGCATGATGACAGAAATTTCACACAACATAAAACATATAGGCCAGGAAATAAATTTATTTAGGCTACCTGGATTTCCACAGAACTAGTCTTCTGCCTCAATGGTCTAATCAGGATGCCAGTGAAAGATGCATTTTCACTAAAGATTGGGCTACCTTCCATTCCTGAAAGATGCAGAACCAGTTTAGAAACACTGGTCAATTGAATAGAAAGACTACTGGATTATGAAATATGGAAATGTCTCAAACCAGGAAGACTTCGTATGTCAGCCATCAACAATGATCCATCAGATGAATTAGGAGGATAGCTGTTTGCAATGCATCCCACTGAAATACTAATCAATCATGAAATTATATCAATGACAAAACTACAAAGGACAAAACACTTAATCAAACAATGAATTTAGATTCAGGAAGCCGAAAGTATGCTGTGACTACAAGATTATTACCTACCATTCAATAATTAATGAAGGTAAAAACGCATGAAGAGGAAAGATGGGACCAAACAATACATCTTGAATTAACAAACAGCCGGATACAGGACTAAAATTTTCCACAATCAACACTAAATTTCGGATGGAAAGGAGCACTTAAGTCTCAAATCAGCAATCAATCAACATATTACTTGAAAGTTCCTCACAGCACCGCAGAAAAATGCAACAAGAACACAACCCAACCCACTGTTGGGTTCCAACCCACAGCTGCCACCGAATGTGCAATGGGAGATATAAGGGAGTGATTGAGGGAAGAGAAGGTGAGACTGATGGTCCAATAAAGTACCCAAAAGCATACACGAAAAAGAATACAAATGAGGTGCAAAACAAGGGAGTAATGACAAAGCAAGAGGGAGCAAATAAAGAGTTATTGGCATGGGATGAAAGAGTTGTTGACTATAACTCGTGTCCTTACTTTCAGTCTTATTGTGCCGTTTGAGTTAAGTGTTCTGTAGCAGAGATATCTCAATAACCTTTGTGATATCAGTCTTTGTGCTTAGGGTATTGTAAGTGAAGTTATTAAATTTCAGTCCCTTTTCATGTTCTATGCGTATTATTCTTTTATATAGCAATTTTGTGAAAAGGAAGATGAAATAATAATTGAAGAATGCTAAAAATAAGATCAAGTATTTATTTAAGACTATAAACATGCAAAGGATGAAGAGGACGTAATGCATATGATAAGAGACAGTCAACATACAAAGTATAGATAGGGGTAAGAAGCTTTGTGATTGTGATGAACAAGGAGGGACGAAATAGCACGGAAGCTATCATTATGAGAGCTCACTATGATAGGTCTCTGCAGCAAATTGGCTATGGAGTTCAAACTAGGGGGAACCAAGGTCAGAAGTGAAAATTTCAGTGATGAAAGTTTCAGGTTGAAATCAACGTGTCAACTACACGTAATGGAAGGAGCACCTCCGGATGGGTAGTTCGAAATAAGAGAAATGGATGGGTGGTCGGTTTCTCGTATAAGTCATATATGCATCATGAGTCAACAAGGAATTTTTCTCCCACAACTGTTCCAGTCTAGGGTGTGGGAGAATTTCATTTGCCTTGTATCTTCATTTTCCGTTTTATATCCTGAGTAATCAATTCCTCATCCGTTCATTGAATGAGATATGGCCTTTCCATATTTTAGTGCTAATTAATGTTAATCTGATAGTAGCAGAGCATTTTAGTGTGTATTGAGGATTAGATTCATATTAACCTCGCCAAATGTAGTTTTATATATATATATATATATATATATATAAAAACCAAAAGAACTGATAATACCTGTTAAAAAAGTGAGTAGGTGACAGGACACCAAAAGGAGACCCAACTGCCAGAAGATAGTCGCCTCTTCTATTCATTGAAGATACTGTACTAGCCGGCATGTCCTGTGTCACAGCCATGAACCAGTTATTCTCCTGAATCTATATACAGACAAATATATCACCAGCAAAACAATTCATACACTAGTAAATATGGGCCTTACATAATTATATAAAAAGTACTGGCGTAAGATATCCTACCAAGAGTAAAGATATACAAGAAAAAGAGTCACCTTCAAAGATGAAGAGACACCAAGAATAGCCATTCTAGTCAGTGATCTGCACATTAGGCTTAACCTGGCAGATCCTCCAACTTCCAAACTTCCCTGGCATGTCACAGAAAAATACCATCCCAATCCCATGAGTTTGCATTTGCTTTTATAGAACGAGGAAGAGGTATTACCAAAGATAATTTGTAATATCATGCAAACCTTTTAAGCATCCTAATGAACCAGCATTTCAAGTGAAAAAAACCATAAATGAGAAAAGAAAATTACCCATAGACACCAATTTTCCTATATTAGAATATTTGCTTTTAGTTTTCTTATCAAGTGCATAAGAAATTAAATGAGTCATTCTATTATGTGTCTCGGACAGACCATTATTCTGACCCAGTTTAAAATATCTAATTTTTAAGGGAAAGGAAATTAAATTTTGGCGAAGGATAAGGAACTTTCTAAAGGGGAAAAATCAGAATGAATTTCCCAGAATGTCATTATTAGACAGAGAAATCTCACTGAAAAAATGATGAGCAAAGCTGCAAAGATAACCAACCATATACACCATAGTATTCCAAGAACAAGAACAAACCCTACCCGGCCAAGTAAGACATTTAAAGGCAAAGTACTCCAACCAAGTACAATCGAGAAATGCATAAAATGCACAATGCAGTAAAATAACAGCATCTTGTTCCTACATGGATATATCATGTGATGATTCTCCAAACAAAAACAACACATCCCAAGTGTTCCACAAAAAGCCAAAACAGTAATTCCAACGAGCCCACCAAAAAAAAAAAAGTGGCTGCCTTGCAATGCAAAAATACGTGAGTTATTCTTCTGAACTAGACCTGCACTAACACATTAGAAAATACAACTTTGTCAGGTCAACAAATTTGTTGCCTTAGTTCCATCAATCCTACTAAAGGCCTATTCAAAAATAAGCCAATCAAGGGAGGAAATTGAGCACATGACAGGACTCTCTCATCAACACATCATACAGACCGAAAAAACAAAACAAGAAGCCTAAAGAGTCCTAGGAATAGTATTTGAACGCAAAAGAGCTCTTGGATAAGAGATCACAACTGAATAATCTAAGTGAATCTCTCCCTTTAACACACCAAAAGGGGGGGGGGAAGATTCACTGAGCACCTCATTACACAAACACACAATTTTAAGCAAGGCAGAATAGAAAGGAAAAATGGTTAAGAGGAAAAAAAGAGCACACATGCCAACTTTCAAGAGGTGGGCTCTCTCAACCCAAAATTAGATTAAAATTCTTCTCCCCCCTTTTATGTCAGCTTTGGACTTTTAAAACCTGCTCCAACAGCTTCCTAACCACTCCCTCCTCTGTCACTGTAGATTTACTCTTTCACCCACCCCCTCCTCTTTCCCTTTTGTCTTCTGGCTATATTTGCTATTAGTAACTCCTTTCTGTTTTTCTATCATTTGCCCCCTCTTTTCTGCATCAGCTTCTTCTTTGCCCTAATTGATCTTGGCAGCAGATTGGGGCCCATGAAAACACCAGAGAGAGAGTAAGAGAAAGGTATAAGGTCCTAGTGAGTTTTGTTTCTATTCAGCACCCCAGTTATACATACAAAAATTTAGGGCTATAACAGTCAGAATTTTCCGTCAGAACACACTTATAATTACATCCAAAATCACGTCCTTCCTCAGACTGCAGCACATACAGTTATCAAAACAATTTACAGGCACTTGCAACTTACCTCCACTCATGCAACAACAAAAAAAGAAAAAAAAAGCAAGAATTTCTGCTTCAACACACACTCAATCTAAGTCTCTCCTGAAGACAACTACTCATCGACCATAGTGTTAAAAAGTTAAACAAAAAGGGGGGGGGGGGAACTTAATGACGCAACATATTCATCATCATCAGAGAGAATGGTACACTAGTAGCATTGCCTGGACCTATCCCAAGGCCCAAAATCAACAAAAGGGAACAACATGAATGACCAAAATAGCCATAAAATAATAGTTCTCGTTTCTTATCTCGCACCATGTGGTTTCATGCTCTGGGATACGGTAGATGATACTGATATGGTATCATCCTTAATAAGAGATATGAGGAGTTTAGGAAATTTTGTATTTTAAAATAGTTACCCAATTAAGAGGCATTATAGTTTAGAGCAGTTTTATAAATTAATGATTTAGTTATCTTTTTAGTGGTACAATTAAAATAAAAGGTACTCACTCCATTTCTAATTATAGGACAAAATTACCCAATTCTCACATACCAATGAAACTAATTTATGTCTTAAAATTGCTTCTAGTTTTTCAGCTATGCCCTTATTTAATACTTGTTAACCTCGAATTCAATGCACACCAGATAGTGTTACGGAGAACTAGATATAGACAAAACAAAATACATCTTACATTTTTTTTCTTTCTTTTTATACAGCAACAAGTACATTTGACTTAAAGATTCGACTAATGTATGTATAATATTGACTCTAAACATTTTCTCACACCAATGCTACATAACCACCTATAATTTCTATGTTGGGTGCACTAGAAGCGACATTTCTGTAACCTGCAAGACTTTTCATAGATTCTGAAATTCCCTTCATGACCTATTTCTGGTTTTCAACTAAAGACTTTTAGAGGGATATTCCTACTGAATTTATGACACGATTGGAAAGATTCTTCTTCCTTTTTCCCTTTCTTCTTTTGTTTTTTGTTTTCATAGGGATTCTTGTCCAAATATTGTGTTGCTCCTCTCCTCATCAATAAATTACCCAAAAAAAAAAAAAAATAATGATGATGATGATAATGATAATAATAAAACAAGTAAAGCTTCTCCAGTAGGGTGAGATTTGCAGCCTACTATTTTATAAGGCTACAAACTAAAAGTTTGAGCATGCTATAAAACAATAAGCAAAATAACGTTCACCAATTGCATCAGAAGATATCACAACTCTTTTGAAAAACTTTCACATGCTAATTAAGCGGTCCCTGTTGTAGGTCACTAAACAAAATAGTCCAATGAATCTCAGCAAAGTCATACCCGAAGTCTTAAAAGGATTATCATTCTTTGATCTCAGGTCATAGAATAATGATTCAGATTATGGTGCCCTGAGGCTTGCAAAGCAAAGAGTCAAACTTGCAGGTGCTTCAATTGACCTGTTTAGTCCTATAATCAGCAGATATAAACTTGCTACAATCAAATATAAGAGATTTCCTGTTTAATTTAGACAAGCATGCATGCCACTGGCAACTACAATTAATATCGCCATATTTCAGAAAAAAGTAATTCTATAGAGGCAGTTCACAGGGAATCAAATTTATAAATGCAGCACAGTGTATTTCTTTTAGATATGAAAATCACAATAGAGTTATTGTTAAATAGGAATTCATGTCTTTAATCAAATTTGTATATGAACTAGTTTATGACAGAAGAAGGATATGGAAAAAAAAATATATATATATATATACTCCTCCGGTCCTTAATATAGGACCCAATTGTTGAGTTGATTTTGGTCCTAAATATAAGACCCATTTCTCATATTTATCACTTTTTTCTAAATTATCCCCATGGATACTCCCTCAACTATAATCAAGTAGAAGAGGGAGAAGGGGTATTAAGAAAAATGATTATGGCGTTTTAGGAAAAACGTGTCAAATTTCTTATAATTAACTAACTTACCTAACTTCCTTAATCTAATCAAATTAGTTAAATGGATCTTATATTAAGGACCGGAGTAGTATATATCAACAACATTTCTAAATCGTCAGGAAAAGTTAAGCTGCAGAAAACAAAAGACAAGAAAAACAAAACAACTTGGCTAACCTGAGTTTCCAAGAAATCTTTAGAACGCTGAGAATCACTAGTGTAAGATGCCAAGGACCAGCCAACCTCCCACCCAAGCTCGGGCGAGCTGAAAGATGCTTCAACAAGTGACTGAAGACAATGAGCGGACAGAGGGATATCCACCTGCACATGGCATAAATCTCATTGAAGTGGAAAGTAACAAATTATGAAAAGGAAAACGCGAAATTGACAAACTCAAGCAATATGAATAAAATAATGTCACAGACTGTAAATCAAAAGTCATAAGATTTAATTAAGATATTTAATCATAACATGAGTCCTCATGTTTAAGTCATGCCAGGAAACATGAGTTACTTAAAGTCAGAGGTGCGTAATTTTCCCATAAAAAGGAATACCTATGTAAAAACCCAGAAAGCAACCAAGAAATTAACAACATTAGATTAATAGCCAACCATTGAACTCTGATATCTATAAGTGGCCTTAATTTAACAGCCACATTCAAAGTGATGACTGATGAAAGTTTAAAAGCCGGACTAGTCAGTTAGATTTACATAGCAGAATGTGCACCATATCGTTAATCTCAATAAGGCTGCAGTTAAAGAAGAAAGAAGTTCAAAATGCCAAATCAAACGAGAGATGAGAAGGCAAAATGTCTACTAGTGACAAAAGCTGCGCCTCAGACCAAGGGATTCCTTTATCTGATTTCTCACTGGTTTTCTCCGTCATAATATCAATCCGAACACCAGAAATCAACTCAGGCCGACCCTGAAACTAAATATAACAAAAAGTAAAAATGCAATAAATACAAAGAGCAGAAAAGGCCAATCAATTGTGATACAATCACATTAGCACTAACCTGAGAAACTTTTTCTCTTTGCTGTGGTGATAGAAAAGGTTCAACAACTGACGCCACTGTCACAACCAATCCCATACCCTCACAAAGATCACCATAAAGATGCCTAGCTACTCCAGTGTCATAAAGGTTATCAGGTATAAGCATTCCGGAAGCTGAGAGCGTTGTTTCCCCACAACTATAAATATTCAGAAGGGGGAAAAAAATCAACAAACGAATGAAGCAAAATAGGAAACGGATAAAATTAAGTATGGAGTGCCTCTTGAAGATAACCGATATTGATGAAAAGCGTGTTTTCTCATCTTCAACCCTTTTGGATCCTGGGAATCAGTAGAAACGAGAAATTGGGAGCTTGGTCACCCACATATACACGTGATATAGAGTACTGGATTTTTTAACGTAGGTGAAGTGAAGGAGACTTACTGGACCACGAACTCTAACCATAACTGCGAAATTTCGAGCAAAAGCAACAGCTTCTGCTAAACCCATGATGAAGATAACACGCGGCTCCACCGAGGGTCCTCAAATCTGGGAATTGCCAAGGGAATTGCCAAAGGAATTTGTCACGCGTTTCGATGTAAGTCCGAATCTTGTTGCTGAATCTTGAGAGTCAACAAAGGCATCATGGACATTTCCAAAGGAAAAGCAAGGACAATTGACGGAGAAATGAATGGAATTGATCAAGAGTTCAAAACTTTCAAAGCAGATAAGAGTGCGGCAACTAGACTGGCTGCTCGTCCAAAAAATGCATCCAGCCGTTGTGGGGTTCCTTACAAAATTTAATGTAATTTAATTTAATCAATTGAACTTTGATGTACCAAAAAGTTGTTGATGAAGTCCTTTTTCCTTTTTGCCGACAACTGTTGATAAAATTCTTATCAATTATCAATCACTAATTATATGTAAGTTTTTGGGAAAATGACAATAAAATACCACTTGAATTCTAAAAGGACAAATAAGGGACCTGAATAAGCAAAATGACAAGGAGGTCACTGGGAACCAATCTGGAATTAATATTTTCGGTCAAAAGACCAAAACGCCCTGATGAATGCGGGAAGACCGAAAGCTGAAAGTGAGAGAAAGGAGAGAGGAAGACCGACGCAGTGAGAGAAAGGAGAGAGGAAGACCGACGCTGATGAAATGCGGGAAGAAGGAAAGAAGAATGTTGGAAATGCTATTATCTTACTCCTTCGCATCACCATTCTGTAGAGATTGTTGATTTTGGTTGTGGGAAAGAGGATTTGTAGTGAGAGAGGGAGTGAACCGAAGCGGAAATCAGCAAGCAATTACGTAACGTAACTGCTGTGATATGCTTGCTGGTTTTTGGTAAATCCCATTACGTGAATGGTAAATTTCACTATACATGTAGTTAATTATGAATTTTACAAAATACATATTGTGATTTATAACTTTTGTAGTGAAAGTGACTACTTTGTTAATGGGTTTTGCAACCTGTTTTCAGGAGATAAACAACTTGTTTGTAAAAACTAATAAAATTTCACGCTAAATTTGACAAAACGTATAGTGGGATTTACAACTTCCGTAGTAAAAATGACCACTTATTCAATGGGTTTTGTAACTTGTTTTCAGGGATGGGCAGCTTGTTTCTAAAAACTAATAAAATTTCCTACTAAATTTGACAAAACACATAGTGAGATTTACAACTTTCGTAGTGAAAATTACCACTTCTTAAATGAGTTTTGCAACCTCTTTTCAAGGAATTGGCAACTTGTTTCTAAAAACCAATAAAATTCCATGCTGAATTTTACAAAACATAGAGTGATATTTACAACTTTTGTAGTGAAAATTACCACTTCTTAAATGAGTTTTGCAACCTCTTTTCAGGGGATGAGCAACTTGTTTCTAAAAACCAATAAAATTCCATGCTGAATTTTACAAAACACACAGTGATATTTACAACTTTTGTAGTGAAAATTACCACTTCTTAAATGAGTTTTGCAACCTCTTTTCAGGAGATGAGCAACTTGTTTCTAAAAATTAATAAAATTTGATGCTGAATTTTACAAAACACACAGTGATATTTACAACTTTTATAGTGAAAATGACCACTTCTTAAATGAGTTTTGCAACCTCTTTTCAGGGGATGAGCAACTTGTTTCTAAAAATCAATAAAATTTGACGCTGAATTTTACAAAATACACAGTGATATTTACAACTTTTATAGTGAAAATGACCACTTCTTAAATGGCTTTTGCAACCAGTTAATTCAACGTGACTACAAAAGTTGTCACTTTTATTAGTTTTTACAAACAAGTTGTTTATCTCCTGAAAACAGGTTGCAAAACCCATTAACAAAGTAGTCACTTTCACTACAAAAGTTATAAATCACAATATGTATTTTGTAAAATTCATAATTAACTACATGTATAGTGAAATTTACCATTCACGTAATGGGATTTACCAAAAACCAGCAAGCATATCACAGCAGTTACGTTACGTAATTGCTTGCTGATTTCCGCTTCGGTTCACTCCCTCTCTCACTACAAATCCTCTTTCCCACAACCAAAATCAACAATCTCTACAGAATGGTGATGCGAAGGAGTAAGATAATAGCATTTCCAACATTCTTCTTTCCTTCTTCCCGCATTTCATCAGCGTCGGTCTTCCTCTCTCCTTTCTCTCACTGCGTCGGTCTTCCTCTCTCCTTTCTCTCACTTTCAGCTTTCCGTCTTCCCGCATTCATCAGGGCGTTTTGGTCTTTTGGCCGAAAATATGAATTCCAGATTGGTACCCAGTGCCTTATTTGTCATTTTGCTTATTCAGGTCCCTTATTTGTCCTTTTAGAATTCAAGTGGTATTTTATTGTCATTTTCCCTAAGTTTTTTTATTATTATTTAATTTAAACGTAAATAGGTGTTTATATATTTATAGATGGCAATTACTTTTTTTACATATATTTTAATTGGTTTTTAATGTTTAAAAATAATAATCATCTAGTCTTTAATATATAACCTAATTATTAAGTTGAATTTTATCCTAAATATAAGACCTATTTTTCATATTTATCAATTTTTTCTAAATTATTTCTATAGATATTCTTTCAATCATAATCAAGTAAATGAAAGAGGGAGGATATCAAGAAAGATAATTATGATATTTTAGGAAAAGCATGTCATATTTCTTATAATTAACTAACTTACCTAACTTCCTTAATCTAATCAAATTAGTTAAATAAATCTTATACTACTTCCGATTCTTAATATAAGACATTGTTTGACTTTTATTTTAGTCATAAATATATGACCCCAATCCACTTTGTCTCTCATATTTACTCAATTTTTTTCAAGATAGTTCTTCTAATAATTATAGTTCTAGTCAATACATTTGATTAGCAAGAATATTTTAAAAAAGACAACACCTATTTATGACAAAGGGAAAACCATATTGAAGGTACCTATACTTTCTCTCAATTTTTAATTTGGTACCTGTAACATCCTAAGTTTTACCGGGTCTTAATAGCCTCTTTTGGGTTGATTTTGAGGATAGATTAGTGATTTAATCTTGATCTTGGTGTTTGGGTTGGATTTGAGGTTTGTTGGAGGAATAGGTGAACGTACCCCTCTCAGGGTATGTTCGCCGCGGCGAACCGGGAGTTCCTAGTAGGCTATGTCTTTCGGGCAGGTTTGGCCGCGGCGAAGTCTTGGGGACGCCGCGGCGAAGTTGTTCAGGTGAGTGAGGCTTCCCTCTCGGGAAGGTTTCGCCGCGGCGAAGGTTGTCTAGGCGAGCGAGAGTTTCCTCTCGGGAAGCTTTCGCCGCGGCGAAGATTGGAATTCGCCGTGGCGAAGTCGGTTTTTCAGGCGAGTAATCCCTCTCGGGATTAGTTCGCCGCGGCGAAAGGTCGCGATTCTATATAATCGCTGGAGGGTTCAGATGTGCGAAAATTGGAAAATCTGAAGGAGGAGAGAGAAGCTCTGCTAGGGTTTCGTGGAGGAGGCTTGAGAAAGGCATTTCTAAGGATCCATTACCTCAAGTAAGTGATTTTAACCTCTAATCTTCTTTCTTTCTTGGAATTTCTTGGAAATTTCTGAGGATTTTTGGTGAAACCCTAGATTTTCTAAGTTGTGATTGAACTGAGATTTTTGACCGATTGTTTTGGGTTTAATTGATTGCATTGGGTTAGTTTAAGTATTTAATCGGTGTAGTTTCCTTGGATTTAAAGAATCTTGAATTTTGGAGTTAGGGTTCATGGAATTGGATGATTTAGGATTGAGGATGATAATGTAGAGATTTATTTTGAGTTTTGTGAATTGGGTTATGTTAAGGAGGGTTAAATTGGATGTTTAATCGGTTTAGAATTGTTGTTGGAACCTTAATTGATCAAATGGGATGTTGGAGGTTGAATTCCTATAGTGGGTCCTTGAGGTTTGAACTCTAATTGATGCTTGGAGGGAGACTTGATGTTTTAATAGACTTTGAGGACTTTGGAGTGTTGTTTTGATAGTTATACCCTTTGAGTTGGGTAGAGTTTTGATGGGAGATAGGAATTTTGTGTTCCCAAGTGTTGTTTTGGCCACATTATTAGTTTGAAAGCTAATATATGTTGGTTGTGTGTTTGTGTGCTTGTGTAGACCGGTTGTGAGTCTTGGTGGTGCACGAGGCCACATCGTTGGTTTGTTATTCCTTGCTCAGGCGAGAGGTAACCACTTTCCAATCCTTAGTACTTGCTTCTGTGGTATCGTGAGTAGATTTGTGTTTTGTGCTCCAAATAGTAATTGTGTTCGAATTATATGTTGTATATAAAAATGGAAAACCGTCTTGTGGGGTTTGGACTTATGATGAATGAAATTGTGGAATTGTGAAAGATATGCCACTGAATGAGGTTAATTGTGAAATGATTATTACTCTTGATTATGATTTGAGCATGATGCATCAATTGGGAATTTGGTGAGAGTTTTGTCTGTTACTACCACGTGGTAAGGCCTCCATTAATGCATGATGGTTGGCTCTTTACGTCCCCCATAGGGAGGGATAGGCCTTCGGGCTCATTACGTCCCCAGAGTGAGGGATAGGCCTTTATGGCTCCTTACGTCCCCCATAGTGAGGGATAGGCCGGGTTCGGCTCCTGAAAATCCCCCAAAGTGAGGGATTTGGTTGATGGGATTGCATCATTTCACTTGCATAAATTGTTGTGGCTATCATTATGTATTATTTGTGAACTGCCCCACTTGACACCTCACGAGCACCTATTTAGTAGTACCTAGTATTGGAAAGGTTGGTTACTGGGACTTTGTCTCACCCCGTGGTTTACAATGTTTTCAGGAGAAGGTTCTAGGCGAGCACCTTCGGGAAGAGACGCAGAGGCTTGAGCTGGGTTAGCTTTAGGCCTCTAGCATTTGTATATGTATGAGTAGTAGTTATATTACCACATTTAGGACCGCTTTTTGGTATCTTTGATTTCCCGGCCTTGTTGTAAAATGAATAGAATGTATCTCCTTATTTTGGTTGGCCGGAGGCCATTGCTATTGTTTTAGGGAATATGTTTTACTTGGTGGAAAAACTATTTTGATGGGCTGATTTTGATGTATGTGTTACCCGGGCCGGAGGCTCGGAGGCCCAGTGAATATGTATGGGTTATTTTAGTTGCATGCAACGTTTATTTTGGTTGACCTGAGTTTGAAAGTTAATTTCTAAAAATATGAAATTTCCTTCTATTATGGTAGCTCGTATTAACAACTTTCCTTTCTACCATAGTAGAGGTTTTG